TCTGCCTCCCTTGGTAATTGTTTATGAAGCATTGGGTTTATTTAATATCTACTTTAGTCTCTGTAAATATGCAAGTCTTTTACGAACTGTATTGGAATCAGACACCAGCAAATCTGAAGGTGTACTATGCTACATGCTTCACTGTCATTGGGGGGATCATCATCTTTGGTGGCCTTCTTGCACCAACTGTAAGTCTCCTCAAAATTACTTGTTGTTACTATTGATTTTCAAGCTTGGCAAAATAAATAGAAAGAAACATGAATATGCCATGATAATGATAGTGTCTGCTATCAGTTTATCTACTCATCGCTGATTACATGATAATGAAGTGTGCAAAACTGTAAAGAAATACCATTACATGATTATATTTTAGTCAATTTTCATCAAAAATTGAGTGATTAGACACATAAAAACATTCACTTGTCAGACAAACTTGGAATTACTAACTATCAAAGGGATTTAAATTATCAAATTTTTGTAGACCTCAGCTCTTAGTGCATTTGACAGTTGCCATTTGTTAGTTCACTTGTCCACATAAACAACATGTATCCGAGAAAAAGATTTGTTGCAGTCATGATAATTGCTTATCTAGATTAACCTGATTTCGGTTTGCGTGGTGCGAGGAAAAGGCGATGTACCTCTCGATTAGATATAGTTTCTTCACTTGTAACTTCACGTGCATCTATGAAGCCAAGTCTAATATGCATAGTTTACATATATGTTGTGTGTTAACATGCATATCCATATCCCATAAAAATACATGTTAAGATTCATGCAAATATGGGTACCTTACCTCTGTAATTAAAATATCTAACCAACTTATCTTTAATGTTTCATCCATTCTACCAGGTTTTGTGCCACAATATCTTACTTTGGTGCAAGTTTCTCACTTTCCATAAATGCTCCTGCTTCCTGGAACGATTTGAGATGCACTGTATTTTTGCAGGAAACCTTCATGGTTAAGCTGTTCTTAGTGACAAACAAAACCATATACAGATCAAATATGGGCTTTCTGATTTATAAGTGAATTAACATATTAAAAAGGAATATCTTATGAACTAACTAATAATTTACGAACTAAATTTCAGTATTAGGGTTGTTTTTGACTGCTTGCGATTGTGTGTTCTTAATTGAGGAGAGCTGAAGCATCTCTAGATTATACATCACAACTAATTGTCTAGAATTGAGATAATTCAGGAGAGTTCTCTGCTTCTTAGCTTTAATATGGGTTTGTTGTCTGTCTTGAAGCATATGAGCAGAAATCACAACTGTGTCTTGTGCAAGTAGAAGTGATATATGCCATATTTTCATCTGTAAATACACTTGTTCTGGTGGACATGCATCAGCACTTCTTGAAACATGAACTTTCTCCTGTTTCCATTTAATATTTGATTCTATTATGGGTATACATTGACCTGGTAACTTTTATTTCCCTTCTCTCTCTTTCCAGCTGGAGCTCAAGTTGGGACTAGGGGGAACATCTTATGCAGATTTTATACGTAGTATGCATTTGCCAATGCAACTAAGGTACTGTCTTGGCTGTGATGCACTTAGGATAAAAGATGAACTATACTGGTTTGCTCACTGTCATTTGGCACAGGAGTTTCTTTGAGAGTTCGACCATCAAGTTTATAACTGTGACATGTTTTTAACCTGTTGAAGCAGCTTGTTAATTATAATTTCTAAGTCCAAAGGTGATCTGTTCTACCATTTTTACTATAAGAATGATTTCTTTATGTTTTTTATCGACCTATAAGTTGTTGATCTAATAGGTAGCACTTGCTACACTTTTTGACTTCGTAGTTCATTAAGTTCCTCAATAATTATGACTATATCTGTTCTGGACAAATATGGTTATATAATTTAATATCCATTTGATATTCATATCCACTGATTAAAAGTGGATATGAATATGAATATTTCCAATATTTAATCCTTACCCAACCATTATTTGTCACTACTTTAGGGGCTTTGAATAATTCAAACCTATCGTATTTCTTTAGTAGGTGGGCTACTTGGGCAAGGTTGGTAAAACTCCAAATATTGGGATGAGCAGTATTTCTGAGACTGTGTTGTGGATACTTTGATGCGGGAGTGATTGGAACCATCGTTGTATAGTACAGTTGTCTTGTGCTATCCTTAGGAAAATGTCTCAAAGTCAAAATTTGAAACTTAAAAAATGATGGCACTCAAGAAAATAGATAACATTTGAAATGGTATATTATTTTTATAATATATAACAGGCTACCCAGTTATCAGTTCAGCATTCAGATTGTTACCATCATTAGATTGAACCATACCCCCAAAACATATTATACGAGCCTATGAGTTAGATTTCCAGATAATTGTCATTGCAATTTGTTATAATGCCTTTCATTCTTGAAGGATGCTGATCTCTCTTAAATGCAACTGAAACTTTGGGATACGAAGTGTTGATAGTTTTTTTAAAAAATAATGTATTTATTGCATATGTTGCTTGTTATTTTCCTCTTTTGTAAAATTGAAAGTGCCATTTTGTTTTGGTGAATTCGAGAGCCTGACACGTTCTCTTAGTTTAGTTTGTTCGGGCAATAAATAGAATACCAACTATCACCTCTTCATGTATGCAAAGCATAAATTTTTTCTTTATTACTCCTGGTTTTTTCTTGTGAAGAACATTCCTTAATCAGCATTTTTAACTTTTTTGAGCGAATGATGTTAAAGGCATTATTATAGTATGCTTTTGCATTATTTGCCAATTTTTTGGGTTGTATATTCATTTCTCACTGGATATTTGCATAATGATTTGCAGTCAGGTCGATCCAATAGTAGCATCCTTCTCAGGTGGAGCGGTAGGAGTTATATCAGCTTTAATGATTGTTGAGATCAACAATGTCCAACAACAGGAGCAAAAGCGTTGCAGATACTGTTTAGGCACTGGTAATCTTCAAGATCCTAAGCTTTCACTTGAAATTTATTAATTTATATCATTTTAATTACATCAAAATTTGTGATCTATTATTTATTGTTATTGTACACTCATATCATCTCTTATTCTTCTGCTGTGATGTTGAAGGGGTTTAGGTTTTAGGGTTATAGACAAGATGGACTGGTGGTGTGGGAAATGGTAACCTCAACCGAGGAGAAAAGGGGAGAACAGAGAAATTGATAGTTTTGTGTAGAATCAAGAATCCAGAAGCTTGCTTCTTTTGCTTATTATGGAATTCTTCCTTTGAGGTCGATAGCCATATATTAAATGCCTTGATTGCTGGATGAAATATGCTTCGAGTAGTGACAATGCTAGTTGAATAGTAATTATATCTTATGACATTATGGTATGCGTGCTAGCCAAAATGAAGAAAATTCTTTGATTCAGAATAAGTCGATTTGTATGTCGATGAGAACTCATTCATGTTACGTAGAAACCATTGCACTTATATTGATCGATTGAGTACTAAACCAAACAGTCTTTTTTCCTGCTTAACAGCTTATGAAATACTCTAATGGAAGGATTGTTAGCCTTGATAACAATCTTTGATTTAGAGTTCAAATGGAATTTACTATCCAAGGCAGGCGAACAGGTTGCCCGTGTTTCCCATGTATTCTATCTGATAAATTTATTCATATCACATGCAGGTTATCTCGCATGTGCTCGCTGTTCAAGCACAGGAGCTCTTGTTTTAATTCAGCCTGTCGCCACAGTCAATGATGGTGATCAGCCTTTATCGCCGCCTCGAACAGAGAGGTGCTCGAATTGTTCAGGTTCAGGGAAGGTGAGATATAATGATGCAAATTGGCAGTTTTATGGATCCTGTTTGTTGTCTTATATGTTTTGTGAACTAACAATAATCCACCACTCTGCAACTACTTACTGAGACTAAAATTTTTATTGCTATTACCAGAAAATTCAATTTTTTCCCCATTCTATGCCTGTTTTTCTACAGCTCCCAGGTCAATAGATGGCTGGCCTTGTTGCTTGTCTTTGCCAATGTCACAAGAACTCATGCTAGGTGGCTTGTTTGCAGGTTATGTGTCCGACGTGTCTCTGCACAGGGATGGCTATGGCCAGTGAGCATGACCCACGGATCGATCCATTCGATTAGATCATGCAGGTCTCTTGTCAGTTCGGATTTCTGTGCATGGTTTCAGTTAGCAGTTTCTAAATTCACCAGCGGATTGGTTGGGCCGGCTGTATGTTTCTTCTTTGAAGCATTCCTCCTACATGACACTCGCAGTCCATATGTAATGTATATACAGGCAAAAAAGAGAAGCTTCGTTGAGAAAGAATGGGGAAGCTAACCGAGGTCCCTCCCTGAATGCTGAATTCCGTGATTATATTACGTTGCAGATGGGTAAAACATTAGAGTCTTGTTTAAAGTGCGTAAGATGATGACCAATGATATACAGAATAATGCTGATGATGCCTGACGTGTCTTGCAGTTGGACTGCGTGAAAAGACGTGCTTGTCATATAATAATAATTGGTTCTAAAGGACATTATATATATGTCTATACATATGTATATATATGTTTTTACTCGCAGGTCAAAGTGAGATTGTGATTTATCATGTGAAAAATCAACATATGAATGGAAATAAAATATGATCGAAATGTCTGGCCTCAGATGGGTGAGCTTGGTCAGAGCTCAAGTTCGCAAAGTATTTGGAGAGCATGTGTCTGCCTTAATGCCTTCACTGTGAGCTCAAGTTGCATGTTAAATTAATCGTCAAAGAATAATGCGTTACATTGTTATGCTCGTCGTTCATTACAATATTCTCTCATATGCCGTAATAATTATTATATATATATATAATAAGTGGTAGGAAATGCGCTTACCAATTTGTGGCCATATGGATCCAAACCAATCTCATGTACTTTTGGTCCCGGCAAGAAAAACCCAACACCGTAGGCGTGGAGCCCAATCCGGCCCATTTCCGTCGTCTCACGTTCACGTGCGAGGCATGCACGTGCAAAGACCATTTGATGGTATTGAAGTTGGACACAGTGGACAGAGTGGTCATTGACCGATTTATCGAGCAACGCAACCTAAACCCCGTCGCCCCCTTCCATTTACCACAGCTTCCAAAACCCTTCTTTCTCAGATCCATCTTACTGCCAGGTATGGCGGCGGAGCCCGAAAACAGTGCCGGAAACGAAACCTCCGCCGAAGCCGAGACCAAGGCGGAGGTGCCATCCTCCCCCGCCGCGGAGGCCGAGACCGAGGAGAACGACGCCGCCGCCGAGGAGGATGAGGAGGAGGAAGAGGAGGATGAGGAGGAGGCCGAGGAGGAGGATGCGGCGGAGGACGAGTCTCCTCCCGCCGAGGCTGCCCCGACGGCGCAGGGTGGCGGCGTGGAAGTCAAGAAGTGGCCCGGGTGGCCCGGAGACAACGTGTTCCGCCTCGTAGTGCCCGTTCTGAAGGTGGGGAGCATCATCGGCCGCAAGGGGGAGCTCATCAAGAAGCTCTGCGAGGAGACCAAGGCTCGCGTTCGGATCCTTGAAGGGCCCATCGGCGTCAGTGATCGCATTGTTAGTCTTTCGCCCCTTGTTTTAGGGTTTCTTTTAACGATGTTTTCTTCCTGTCGATCTATAACTTTTTTATGTCTAGCATCTGATTGGCTTCTTAGTTTGCGAAAGAATGGTTCTTTCTTTGATGACTGAAAGATTTGAAGTTGATAGTTGGAATTACGAACCCAAAGTTCCTAAATTTGTGTTAATCTCACGAAATAACAGGACGAAAGGAAAATAGTGGCTTTTATTTGCCAACTTTTGTGAAGGTGACTGTTTTAGAAGGCTTCATTGGGTAACCGCAGGTTTGAAAATTGGGGCATTTCACCATAATGATTGTCTTATGAACTTTCAACTGAAGTCCCATGCGTGTGTTTATGTAGAAGGCTTCATTGGGTAACCGCAGGTTTGAAAATTGGGGCATTTCACCATAATGATTGTCTTATGAACTTTCAACTAAAGTCCCGTGTGTGTGTAGAAGGCTTCACTGGGTAACCCCAGGTTTGAAAACTGGGGCATTTCACCATAATGATTGTCTTATGAACTTTCAACTAAAGTCCCGTGTTTTTGTGTGTGTGTGTGTGTGTGTGTGTGTGTGTCTTATGAAATTGGGGAAATTGGGGCAT